AGGAATAAAATAGGACATTCTTGAAAAAAACGAGAAACTGTGAAAAGCTTGGGGTTTGTTTATTTTTGAGCACTTGTGTCTGTTGCTGTGGTTAAACCATTTTGCTTCAAGAAGCTGGAAATTACTTTGGTTAGTGACTAACGTGCCTGGGCTCTATTGGACTACTCAGACACTAGCTCAGCCTGGAAATTTTATTTCAAATGTCAGAGCATCGAGGTTTAAATAAGCATTATGGGCTGTGAGCTGGCTGGGTGAGGAGCAGGGATGGATTTCTGTTATCAGTTCAGCAGCAGGGAGCTGTGAGCATCTCCAGGCAGCTGCTGCGGCTAAATCCATCACAGCCCACAGTGAGCATGTGTTGTCTGGGAAAGCAGCAGCCAACTCCCAGAATGAAACTCAGCAGAAGTTTGCAAACATGTCATTGTCCTTACTGCCCACAGCTGGGAAAGTGATATTTCTTATGTTTCTATCAGCACAGGCCAAACAGACTGCTTAAATGACCTGCCGGACATGGACGGCAGCATCCCTGGATGGAAGCCTGGCTTGTACTATGGAGCAGATGAGCAATGTAAAATAGCCTTTGGGAGCGTTGCCACAGCATGCACCTTTGCTGACAGCAATGTTGTAGGTAGAAAGTTTGTTTTTCTTGCTAGGGCCAGCAGGGGAATGTTCTGGAGCCAAGATCCAGGAAGAGGGAACATTTTTTTTTTTTATAATGGATGGAAGGTGCTTTCCTGCCACGGATTTCTTGGCAGTGAACAACCTTCAAAGGCTTTTAAAATGCTTCCCTTCTCTCCATCACCTCCTTCGTCCACGTAAGTCACCTTTAAGGTTTGCACAGTACACAGAGCCCTCTGTCCAGCCAGGGGCCTGGCAGTGCTGATGCTGGGGATGCCTACGCAGGGTACTGTCTTAGGGAGCTTTTATTCATTGGATTTCTTCAGCTTCCCCACCATTGTGCAAGTCCCCTTATCTGGAAAATGCAGGGTGGCTAATAGCTGCCATCTGGACAGGTTTTGTTAATGAGGAAGCACTAAGATGGGTGAAACTTTAATTGCTTCAGTTGGCCGCCTTCTAGCATTACAGCTGGCAGTGCTGGTCTGTTGACATGGCCACCACTTTTGCCCAGCAGCAAGAGGAATGAAGGGACTTGGTTGCATTGCTGGGTACCTGTGGGGAAACTAAACCTCTGGGACATGCACCCTTTAAACAGAACAGCTTTTGGGACTGCTGTGTTGATGAGCCTCAGTGACTCCCCAAGCTCCCTGGTTTTCTTGTCACACTAGGACATATGTGAAGTTCTCTCATGCCACGTACAACCAGGAGACAAATCCAGCTGTACTCGGCTTCTTGTTCCCCTCTTGGATGGTACCGAATGTGGAGTCAATAAGGTGAGGAAGCTGCTGATGTGACGGTGATCGGAAGTGGATGGAGGTGCTATGGAGCTAGCAAGACGTGATCAGTGGTTGGCACGTTGCCCCTTGGCCAGGAAACTGGGGCCAGACACTCCACTCGCAAACTGGTACCAGCTGATCTTGGTGTTTTCACCTTGTTCTATACCTCTGGAGCTGCTTGGCAGTTCTATAGCCTGATGAGCATTCCGCGAAAGCTTTTGCTTCCCACTTGAAGTAACCTATCAGGTCTTTGTTTGAACCCCAGCCTCATGCTAGATGATAATTAGGAGTGAGACTCTTCTAGGCTCTTGTGGGAAGGTGCCTCATTTATCTTGAGACTCACTGTTACAGCCTGGCCTGCATAAAAATGGAGTGCCACCCCTGTAGATCCCAGCCCTGCTGGGTTCACTGTGGTGCTGCTGCCAGTTTTCTATACTCTTGATCTTAGTGGTGCTCCAAGGGACAGTGCAGCTCTCTGGAAGACCTGAACCCCATGGCCGTGGTCCATGGGCAGTGGTCCAGCTGGAGCCCTTTCTCCTCCTGCTCCCGCAGCTGTGGAGGTGGAGTTGTGCTAAGGCGGCGGTTCTGTAACAACCCCAGGTAAGAGCTGGGGAGTTTGCAGTGAATCTTGGTTGATTCAGGGCCGTGGGGTCTGAGACTTGCGCTTTGCTTGGGACAAACCTGCCTCTACTGAGGAGTTCTTCTCCTGTCATTTCCAGGCCTGCTTTTGGGGGGCAGGACTGCCCTGGTGTCAGCATCCAAGCAGAGATGTGCAATACTCAGGTAATGGAGCTCATCACATCTTCTGAGCTTTTCCGCTAATGTCGTTTAACCCTTTGAGAGCTGAATGGTTTGAGACTGTACTTCTCACAGCTGACTGCTCTGGGAAGGAGGAGTAAAGATCTGGCATACAGCCTCCATCTGTTTGACAAGAAGAGAGGTATTGGTTCCCATGTGTCTGAAGACAGCAGTGTTATTTAATAGCATCATTCACATGTAGTGATGCATTTTCGCTGTGCCTTTATTAGCAGGGCAGATGCTGAGAAAATAATGACTTGATGATAATTTTCTTCAGAGGGATATTCTTGTGTTGTTCCTATTATCCTTTTCCATTTATTTTGTGTAAATATCAAAGCAAACAGCTTCCACACACAATTCTCTGCATATCTGTATCCTCCCTTTAAAATTATTTTCTTTATTTGCAGTTGTTTTGGTGTTTTACGTTCCAGCCACTGGTTTTTGCCCTTACCTTGCGGTTAAAGTGCTGCTTGGAATTCTGTGCTCAGTAACTTCCTTTCATTACCCATACAATTCTCTCTGCGATGTAGGCCTGTTCGATGACCCAGCAGGATTTTATGGCTGAACAGTGTGCAGCAACAAATTTAAAACCACTGTATCCCACTGCGGGAACTCCTTCATTTTACACCTGGACTTCTGCTGTAGGCTTTGCCAAAGGTAAGGAAAGACTGAGAAACTGTGGTTTCTTTGTGGAGCGCTCATGGACCTGCCTGTACTTTGAAGCCCAAAGGCTGTTTCACTAATTGATTTAGTTTTCATGTGAAACCCGGATACTCTTTCTGTGAGATCCTTTTGACTTCTTCCTGTTGCTTGATGGTCAGCCACTCTTGTGGAAGAGTGACTCCTCTCTCCTGCTGTCTGCCTCCTCCAGGGGACATGCTCTGCAAGCACATGTGCAGGGCTGTAGGAAAGGAATTCATGGTGAGCCGCGAGGACAGTTTCACAGATGGAACCAGATGTGAGCAGGATGACTCTGAGCGTCACGGAGCTTTTGGTCTGTGTGTAATGGGAAGCTGCAGAGTAAGTGACTGGGGAGTCCATGTGACCCTGTGACGTGGCATCTGCCCCACAGGAGTGACTTTACTAGGAGCAGGGGAAAAAAAACCTAACGGTGTCCCAAAGAACCTCTTCTCAAATGAAGAGAGTTTTATTGCTAATTGGATGGAACCCAGCAAATCTACTCTTCTGTAGGTGCCTCCAATGCCAGTGCCCTCTGTGTAAGACATCCTGCCAATTATGCAGGAAGAATGTGAGGCTGTTCATCCCTAATCCAAGAAGCAATTGGTTTATGTGTTGGTGGAGAATCGAGAAGATGTCATTAGCTGTTCTCTGTTGGAGAAAAGTTACATGGTTTGAACATACAGAGTCAGTGGCAAATTAAGGAGTAAACCCGGGAAATCGAAAGTCAGCAAATTGATTGCTACACTTCAAAATGGAAGTGTAACTTTTTTTTTCTGGATCGGATGTGAGAAAGGCATTCTTTCATGCTGAACGTGAATATAACTCCCCCGCACTGTCTGCGTCTTAGTAACTGCTCAGTGCTGACCTGGTTGTATGTTTTCTGTTGTTTCTTTACATTCCCAGAATACACTTTTAGCATTTTATGGTTTTCTCATTATCTTCGTGTTCACAATGTTTTGTAATGTGTTTCCACCTAATGAACAGCAGAGGGTGTAGGCATAATCTCTTCTGATTTCTTCTATTCTGTTGGCAACGGTGATAAATACGCATGTTATGGCAGCATTCAAAGCCTGGGATCGGTGCCTCTAGCATAAATTCAGCAGTTGCACGTGTTTTGCTGCTAAGCCTGCTGAGATCCTCCTGTAGATTTGTGTGAGTTGGTCTTGTTCATGGGAACGAGGATCGAATCTCTTTTCTGAGTTCCATGGGATTGAAGGCCAGGCTGAAGGATGTGAGCTAGGTTTGAGTTTGGAGGAGGTAAAGTTTCCTTTTGAACCTGCCATTCATGTTTATTGTTCTCCTGGGCTTCCATTTTTTCTTTTTTTTTTTTCTTCCTGCTTTCCAGAAAGAGTCTGTAGAAGAGAGGAGGTGCAGAGCCCTTGTTTTAAGTCGCAGGAGAAATCTTTCTGGGCTGCCTCGTATGGGAAAGAAAATGTCACACAATTAATGAATCTTGTTGTGGTTTCAGCTAAGACTGTCCAATCCCTTGCTTTGCATACTGCTCTGCAGTGGTAGATCTAGGTACAAATACATCTTTGTCTATCTTGTCTTCTTAAATTCAAATTACAAATGAAAAAGGCAGTCTAGAGAATTCAGGCAGTGCTGCTTTCATTTGCTTGTTTTCTTCTCAGAATAGGCAAGTCTTGACAGACTCTCCTTTTCACTCAGGCATTCGGGTGTGATGGCCAGATGGACTCCAAGAAGGTAACGGACTCTTGCAAAGTCTGTGGGGGTGATAATACTACTTGCACCAAAGTGAGTGGATCTTACACAGACGGAAAAGCTAAAGGTGTGTAGTCCTCCCCCTCAGGCTCAACATTATGGTACTTTTTGCATGCGGAGTGTTTGTGTGCATATTCAGTATTCATAATCTTCTGTATGTGACTTCTTGTTTCTGCTTGATTTTGTTTTATGGAGGATATGGTGGTGGAGTTTGGGTAGGCAACACAGATGGCAGCTAAGATCTCTTGTAGCAGGCAGGTAGCTGTTGTGTAGGCAGAGTGACTTTTTTGGTCATAGTTCTGGTCTGGACATAGACGACAAATGTGGCCACTTGGGAAATTCAGCAAATTACTGGGAGCTGGGGGCTGTGTCAGAAGCTTCCTAAGATGTTAAACATCCATTTGGGAACTGATCTGGCTCTTGCAGGATCACATACAGGTATTAGCAGAGAACATAAAAAGAACAAATAAAAGGTGAGAATGGGACACAGAACTCAGTTCTGGTTTGTTTACTGTATTCGCTGTCCTATGTTCAAGCCGAGCTGGTAGAGCTAAGGTCTGTCTGAATTTGGCCTGCTGGCCACCACTCTTGTATCCTTACTTTTTCTGTATTAGCTGTATAACCCTTGTCTGCAATTAAGCTTTGTTGCCGCCTTTAAGGCTTGTCCTCTAATGGACAGCACACTAGCAAGGTGAGGAGGGGTTGATCTGTAATCCCCAGGTTTTTAACAGAGGTGCAGTAATGGAAGGTGACCGTATCTTCTTTCTTTCCGTCGCAGAGTATGTTACATTTCTGTCCCTGCCTTACAACACCACCTTGGTCCGTGTTACCAATCGGAGCCCACTCTTCACACATCTGGGTGAGTTGAATGAAAAGGAGAGGGACTACAGGCAGGACTAAAACAAGCTTGCAAGAAAATGGAGTTTGGGAGGAAAGTTTTTGATGATGCAATTCGTTTGTGGAGTGCTCTCCAATGGGAAGCGGTAGAAGCCACACACTTTGGGATGCCTGACTTGGATCGAACTGGTTTCTAGCAAACGGGCAGTCTGTAGCTGCCAGCACCACATCATATCTCTTAACCTCACTCTTACTTTGGCTCGTCTAGCTGTGAAGGTTAAAGGAGAATACGTGGTTGCTGGAAGAGGAAAAATCTCACTGAATGTCACCTATCCATCGGTTCTGGAGGACAGCCAGATCGAATACAAAGTATTTCTCACCCAGGACAACCTGCCAAGCCTGGAGGAGGTCCATGTGGATGGGCCAACGCAGGAAGAAATTGAAATACAGGTAAATTAAAATAGCAGGGCTGGAAAGGAGCCAGTCAGAGCTGGCCAGACTGAATTTGTGTAGCTCTGCTGCAGTGCAGAATCCAGGCATAGTGGGCTTTGTGTCCAAGGCCAGTGGAGATGGTGTTCGCTAAGAGTGATGGCGTTGCTTTTCTTTGGAAAGGTTGAGAGTTGGCTGCCTACAGGCTTTCTGCAGGTCTGGTGGATGATTGTCTGGGGAAAAGCGAACCAAGTTAAACCTTTTGCTTGGCTTCATCTTTTTTAAGTGCCCTGCGCACAGAATTCACAGTGTGAGTGCTCTGACTACATCTGGGAAGAATTGAGAGTCGTAGCACTGAGGCGCAGGATTGGATGATAAAAAAGCTTCTTTTATCTTCATCCTAAGAAGTGAATCTGAGTTGATTTGTGCGTTGACCACAATTTTTTCCTTCTCCAGGTCTATCGAAGTTATGCAAAAGAATACGGCAATGCCACCAACCCGGACATCACCTTCAGCTACTTTGTCCCCAGAGAGAATCTGACATACACATGGATTCCTCAGCAGGGCCCGTGCTCCGTGACCTGTGGGGAAGGTGAGGCAGCAACACTCAGTCTTTGCTTTTTTATGGAGATCTGGGCAGACTTCTAGTTTGGTTGCCTGATAGTCACCCAAATCTTTATTCTGTGGGCTCTCATGGGCTGACTGAAAGAAATATGACATCAGCGATAAATACTTGGTTAGAATTTATTAAGTGAACTGGATTTAAAAGCAAATTGTGAGCTGCAGTTGCCAAGGTTAAACTAGACCAAAGCAAAGAGTCACTCAGCTTTTGAATTAAATTAGCAAATCAGGAAAGGAGCGGAATCATCAAAATGATAGTGAAGATGTTTGATTGTGAAGAGGATTTTGAAGTAGGTTTTAACTGAAGTTTTGGGTTTAAGACTAAATAATTTTCTCAGATTTTTCAAAGTTGTTGAAGACTGTAATTTGAAGTTGGCTAAACATCAAAAGTCTGAGACCAAAGTGGTATCTAGTGTCTAACTAAAGCCTCAGAGCTAATTATGAAACTTCCTTCTTAGAATTCTATTCCTGTGCCTTGGCTAATCCTTGCTGTCTCCCCGAAGAAATCAAAATGCAGATTGTAATGGATCACTCTAGTAGATGGTCTGATGTCTTGTTTACCAGATAATACAGATGACACTGGCAAGCCTCTCAAGACTTTTATGACAAGAATTTAGAAAATATGTTAATGAATACTTATGGAAGTCAGTCTACAGGACCAGTTATGTCTGGAGAGTTTTTCTCCAGCAGATTCTCCAGGTGAACTGATTGCTGAAAGCCTGAAGTAAAGAACTCAAAATGCTCTCGAGCTTTCTGGTTAATGCAGCCACAAACAAAAAAATGAGAAAGCTGGGAGGTAAAATAAGAGAAAGTTGAGAATCCGAGCTGAAATTGCATTGTGAGAGCTGAAAGCGTTGCTCAGCCCCTTCTTACCAATAGGAGGGTTGTGAAAAGATAACATTGCTGATTGATTCTTGACATTTTCTTCTCAGGGTCATTCTCTTTCTCTCTCTTTGTGGGTGGCTCATTCACTGCAAAGGAGACTCTTTCCAGCTTTGCTTGTAACTGTTTTGAGTTCAGATTTTCACCTGCTTTACCTGTTAGGTTCAGTATTGTTGAACATCTTGTATAGTGTAGTTTTGTAGCTGTATTTTATGATTTTTTTCATTTCCTGCCTGCCACAGGTGCTGTAAGTTTGCAGTTTCTCTCGCAGTGCCTCTAGTCTGGCTTTGGGTATTCATGATCGCTTTGAGGACATTGGCACGATGCTGTCTGAATATAAAGGCTGCGTGATGATATTACATGATTAGTTCTGCAGAACGTAGTTTAGAAATGCCTGACTGCTAGAGCTTATTTTCAGCAACTTGTCCCTCATCAGTCAGACATCAAGATCATTAGAAGTAATTCACACCAAATGATGATTAATGTCCTTGTTCTTGCAAAAGGCCAGTTTAGAGCAATCTTTCCATTTTGGCAGTGGGTTATCAGTCACACATCATCTTCTGGGGTGTTCGTCTTGAAAAGCCACTTTAAAACTCTTGAGGAAAGTTATATCAGACCGAAGGGGTTTGTGTGTTTATAGAAACATTCCCAAATACACCCATTTCCTACAGAGATGATTTGAGTAAAGCAGAATTACTGCATCTTCCTAGAGTGATAAAGGTAAGCTGTTCACTTTGTTTGTAACTTCCTTTCCTTCTCCTTTTGTATCCCAGGGATGCAACCAGTGGATCATGTGTGCTTTGACCAGACAAAAAATGAAATAACAGAGGATCAGTGGTGTCTGGAGCTGCCACAGCCCCTTTCAGAGCACAAGCCCTGTGCCATGGAGCCATGCCTGTACAGGTTGGTGTTCCTGGAAGCTCAGGTGAATTCTTGCTTCACTTGTCCGTTCTCTGCCAACTAACCCAGTCTCTGCAGTCTCATTTGCATCGTGCAAAGTGAAAAACGGAGAGGTATATGGTAATTTCTTCCCAATTATAATGGCATGGAGGATCCCAAATGATGTTCTGTCTCTCCTGGTCCCATGAGGTAATTGAGTTGTCAGCTCAGTGACTGGGAGATAGTCCTTCCAATATTTCACAGTAGTCTGCTAAATGAAAATAGTTAGAGGGCATGGCCAGAAAAAGATATCTGCTCATAGCCTTTCCAAGATTGTGTCAACAAAGTTTGGATCTTACTCTGGAGGAGACCCTGCTGTTAATTAGACTGGAAAGAGGACTGAGCCAAGCCTGCCCAGATATTGATCTCATAGGCATTTTAGTGTTTAATAAAAAGTGATTACATTGTGAACTAAACTCTAAGCTTAGGTGCTTTTTGTCTTAGAGAGCTGTCAGTGCAAGCACTTGAGATTCCAGCAGTTGTCCTCAGTCACATACAGACAAGGCTCTTGAAGCAGAGAAGCCGAATACTCTGTATGACCCTTTTCTCTAATCAGTGGCATAATAAACCTCCATGATCCAGATGAAAAATAGGGTGATACAATTACTTCCCATTTAGGTGGAAGATGTCTCAGATAGGGGAATGCTCTGCTGTCTGTGGAACTGGAGTTGCCCAGCAGAATCTGACCTGTGTTCAGTTTCGTGATGGACTGGAGACTGTTGTGGATGACAGCTTGTGCCCGGCAGAAGAAAAACCCCTCTCCATTGTGCCGTGTGTGGTTAATGTCTGCCCTTTAGGCTGGGACAAAGTGAGTTCGCTGGCTTGGCTTATTTCCGGAGTCTTACTGTGGGAGCTTTGCACTTGTGATCTACAGGGGGCTACTAGCTAAGAACCACCTTACTGCTGGAGTCTGGGAGGGAGATTTACACTAAGATGTCTGCCCTGTCAAAGATTCATCCTGTCACTTAAGACAGCTCTGTCCCTCTTAATTTATGCTGCTGAATTTGTTATTTCATAGTGGTGGTTTGTTTAGGGCAGCTGTTGATTATGTTCTTTCCTCATTTCACCTCGCAGAGTCCAACAAAATCAGAAACAGAAATAACTCCTGCCACTAGGAAGTACCTCAGTGGCAAGCAGAGAGGTTCTGACATGATAGGGAGGATTGCTAGCATGGAAGAGGGCTTCTCAGCCAGCTTCACTGATCCGAATCCGTACTGGGGAGCTACTGCCAGGTTTACGTTGCAGGTGGGGGAGGTACTGCTTTAGGCATCTCCAGTCTCAGGTATCTCTTTTCAGGTAGTCTGAATTAGGAGAGGTCTTGGCTGTTGGATGTCCTTCACTATTTGTGGTACTTACATGTTCTGCAAAAATGGAGAAAGTGCTTAAATGTGCCTCTTTCTTCAGTGACAGCAACTATGTTGTAGGCTTGATCTGGAGATATCCCCCAGCTTCGTTAGACCAGGACTAGTGTGGAAAGCAGGTGCCAATGTCAGTCTGGATCTTTTTGCTCTGTTCTGAGGAGGAAGATGCACACTTGCTTCAGACTTCAGAGTCACTTGGCCATATCCAGTTGGAGAATCGGACTGTGTATGTGTGGAGCCCTCTAGCTGGAGAGTGTTCCGTCTCCTGTGGTAGAGGTGAGATCTTTCAGCCCTGCAGGAAAATGTTACTTGGCTGTAGGCGTGAGCTGAGTGCCTGGGAACCTCAGGGACCTGGTCGAAGTGTATATGTAGCTGTGACCACAATGTTTTTTTGAGTCTGGAAGAGGCAAGGGGGCCTGACGTAGAGATGGAGTAGTTGGGAGAGCTGACTGGCTGCTGCTGTGCTTCAGCATTGAGGGGGATGAGTGCAGTAAGTGTGCCTGGGGCTTGGGCAGAGTTGGCTTGTTTTGTACATGCAGATGTAAGTGACACTGCTTGGCTTATTTTCAACCCTTGCGTGCATGCCATGCAGTAAGATCACTTCCCTTGCTAGGTAAGACTCAGCTACAGTATGTGTGTGTGGCTTTTGACACCAAAGAAGAAACCCAGGAAGAAAACTGTCATCCGGTGCCAAAGCCAGAGAGCAGGATGGAAGTCTGCGACCTCAGTCCCTGCCCACCAAGGTAAAGCAGTTACGAGGAGACAACGAGCTGGTGAGAAGTCTTTGCTTCCTCTCTCTGTCTCCAGGGACATGGTAGAGTAAGGGTCGAGCTGTGGGACTGGAAAGCCACTTTCATCTGAACTTCTTTTACATGCTCCCAGGATGAAGTATGTTGGGTCGGTTTCTGATCTGAGCGTTCAAAGGGGGGTGTGCGTTTTGAAGGGAGATAAGATTGTTTTTGCAGCTAAGCCTGGGTATGTCACCCTGGGAAAGACTGTAATGGACACCGAGCCTCAATGTACATTTTGAGTCTGTGGGCTTCTCTCAAAATGTGAATCCCTTCTGTTTGGGGTCCAAATCCAAACCTGGTCCAGACTGCCATGCCTTGTTTCAAAGGCTGCTGTCTGAGTACCTTAGGCAGCAAAGCATGTGAGGCAGAGGGTGAAGAAAGCTGCAGAGAAGCAGAAGGGGGAAGGATGAGGGAGTTAGGGTGCATTTTCTACAGTGAGAAATAGCAGAGGGTGGGGATTCATCACTAACTTAATTTTTCCTCTTCCATGTCTTCTGTCAGGTGGAAGGTAACCCCAGCTGGTCCCTGTTCCTCCAGCTGTGGGCTCGGCTTAGCTGTTCAACTGGTCACCTGTGTGCAGATTCACCAGGGCAAGGAGATTCTGCTGGAGGAACGTTTGTGTCCTCTGGCAGAGAAGCCTCTTACCAGCATCCCCTGCGTCATCCGCATGTGCTCTTACGAATGGAGCTTCAGCGAGTGGACAGAGGTATTTGCTCCTGTTCAGATGCAGCGCTCGGTGTCTAGTGCAGCAGTTTTATAACCATTCCCTTCCCTAAAGCATACAGGAGCGAAATACTACTTGTGCCTTGTATATTTACTTCCCACAGAAATGCTCAGCTGTTCACAGGGGTGTTTTCCAGCCTTTCCACTGCCCTGTGTTGAGCAGCCACAGAATCATAGAATGGCCTAAGCTGGAAGAGACCTTAGAGATCATTTAATCCAGCCTCCCTGTCACCAGGGACACCACCTCTCGACTAGATCGGGCAACACATGGGGACCGAACGGGAATCGAACCCGTCACCTTAGCGTTATTACCGCCATGCGCAGCTGACTGAGCTAACCGGCCCCTAGATCTGCTCCTCGCCTTTCTCAGTTAAGATTTTGGCTGCAGTTTAAAATTGGGCCTTGGCATGTTTTCTCCTGGAATGCAGATCTTTTGGGATTTTTTAGGAAGTGGTTCTGCAATTCAGAAATACAGTTAGAAGATCCACTGGGAGACGGGCCATCTTATAGCTGATGAAACGAAAGCACTGGAAGGGCAAGTGACAGAACAGCATCAGTGAACTGTGATTAGTCCTTTGGATTATGCCTGAGTCAATAAATGAGTTTATTTCTAAATACCGACTAAACACACGTATAAAGGCCTGTGGGTTTCTACTTCTGCAGTGTTCAACTTCGTGTGGGAATGGCATTCAGACACGGCAGGATTTCTGCCTCAACCCGCTAACCCGTAAGCACGTGAACCCCATCTTCTGCAGACACTTCCCCAAGGCCATTGTGGTACGTGGCTGCTCCGCAGGGCCCTGTCCTGAGCAGGTGGTGGGCACCCAGTTCCCTGGAGCACAACTGCAGACAGTGACGCTCACTGCTCATCTGACGACAGCTGCAACTGCCAAAGAGGCGAGATACAAGGACGTGGTTCTACCTCCATCTCCTGTGCCTCAGGAGCAGACAAAGACGAGTGGAGGTGAGGAGGACGCTACCGAAAGGTAGGCGTAGGTGCTTACTATGTGCGGCTGGATTGTGGTGACCCTACTGCTGTACAGGGACGGGAGCATGGGAAGGGGACTCCTGGTTAGGAGGGACAACATGCTGTTCTTTCCAGCATGCTCTCAGGTGTCCGTGTTACCTGAGGTAGGAACAGTGACTCGCTTCCCTGGGCTTCCCAAAGCTCTTCTGACTTGGGACTCTTCTGTGCTCCACCCAGAAGGTGGGCACACCGTTGCCACTTGTCTGCCAGTTGTGCCACGAAGGGAATGGGAGCTCGTTTTTGGCAGCTGTAGTTCCTTCTGGATGTGTTTCTCATCTGCTTCTGCTGTACAGGTGTCTGTGGAAAGCTCTTCCTTAATGCCACCGGGGTCATCAACATGACGGGGCTAGAGAGCAGCGACTGCACTGTGGCCATTGGACGTCCTCTCGGGGAGGAGATAACAGTCACCGTCCTGGAGAGCTCCCTCAACTGCAGTGCAGGTACTGCCCAGGGCATGCTGGGGGCTCGCCTGGCCCTTTGGGACATCTGCAGCTTTCTTGCCTGTGTGATTTGGGTGCCCTGAAGGGGTTTTGGTACCTTGGAACCTGTGTAATCTCTGAAACCATTGTAGAAGTTTTTCTGTCCCACCATGTCATTGCCAGATGGGACTAAATGAAGACGATGCCTTTCCTCCCTCTACATCATAGTTTCTTACCCATTTTGTTGGTAGATAGGAGATGAAAGGAGTTTACAGGGTTAAAGAAGCTGCTTGCTTTGGCCTGTTATAACCACTAATATACCCTCTTGCTGGAATCAGTACAGTTAGATTAGTTGACTGGACTGTTTTCATCACAGGTTTTGATAAGATACGGACAAGATACAGAAATTCCTCGACTCCAGACCTATATCAGATAGGTTTCAGCCTTTTACTTAGAGTAAAACTGTTTCTAGTCCCTGTGCTCTTCCATTCCAGGTGAGGTGGTGCTCTTCTCTGGGCGAATGATGTGGCGGACAGGCTGCCGGAAGCTCCCATTGTCACTGATCAATTCCAGAACGAACACATTGATTGTGAAACAGCGTGTTTTGCTGCCAGGAAATGGGGTCATTCTTCAGTACAACAGCAGAAATGCAACTAAAAAATATTACCAAGGTACTTTACTGAATCCTTTGCTATTGCTTTAGGTTAAGGCACCCATGACAGGGACTGTAGAGTTCCGCAGGTCATGGTTGCTTATGGAAATCTGTGGAAACCTTCCTTCCTTTTTAGCAGCTAATAAGCACCTTCTTGAGAAGTGCTGGAACTAATATTACTTCTGGACTACCCCTCTGTTCTAAAAGCAAGGCCCCTGCAGGTGTTTGCTCATGCTTGGAGGTTCCCAGATGAAAATCCTTCGAGAAACTTTCCTGCCTGTGCTTAGTTTAAATTATTTCTTTCTTGGAGATGCTGGACACTTCTGTAAATCATTTTCTTTCTTGCTCACTTTTTTTTTTCCTCTCAGACTGTGACAAGCAGCTGTTTGGTCCCCAAGGGGAAATAGTGAATCCTGTGCAATTGCCTGATCAAATGCAAGGAGTGGTGTGTCGGACCTTCATTAACGTGGCTCCTCGGCATCGCATCGCTATCCGCGCCCTGTATATTGACCTGGGCAATAAGAGCAACCAGACACATTTTAATTACATCCTGGTGAGTCAGAAACTTAAAGGGGATGATTTGGATGGGAATGGACTCATCTCCTCGTTAGAGATTTCCATCCAGATGCAAAGTTCAGTCACAAATCCTAGAGGGTCAGACTCTGTTATGTAAACGTAGATGGAAATGAGCACTACTGATGTCTACTGTATTTCTTCTAACCTTTGGATAGGGCACCTTCTGCCCCTGAGTGACCAATTTGCCAGTCCCCAGTATTTTGTGGGTCCTTCACCTGTAGACTGCTATGCTACAATGGTTTGATCTTTCTTTATGTAGGTCCGTGATGTAAGCACCATGAAGACGATGGTGTTCCATGGGAGGCAACAATTCTTCTGGCAATCAACGGGAAGCCAAGCTGAAATTGAATTTCATGAAAATTTTAAGGAACACCAAACCAGTTTCTGGGCTGAATACCATGCTATTGAGCCCAAGTAAAAGGGGCCAGGGCCACTGCGCTGAGAAAGGCCGTGGTCTGGTTAGTCACTGCTCCCTATTCACTGCTCCAGGTCACACAAGTCATTTAATGTTTTCGCAGCTGCTTCCCCACCTAGTGAGAAAGAATGATGATATCTACTGACTCTTTTGTGATCTCAGTTAATATTATGCAAAAGATATGTAACTACCAAATGTTTAGCAAATAGTTCTTGTAGGGATTTGCTATCTCTGCTGATTGGTATTAATGCAGTTTACATATTTGCAGTTAGTGACTTGGACACTAAAGTCTCAGGGTCCTGTTTCTTTAACAGGCTTGACTTTTTAGGACAGTCACTTTGTTTTTTAGTGGCCCGGTGTCCCGTTGTAATCCTCTGTATACCATGTGTAGCTACAATTATGGTTTAGCCACTAAATTTTCTCTCCTGCAGTGTAAATGCGCCTTAAAACTGAGCCCCACTGAAATTCTGGGTTGTTATAAAGAAGGCAAAGATGTATAGGAGGACAAAGTGCTAGCACAGCATGAGTAGAGACCTGTGTGAGGGCAAGGCAGTTATTTGCCCAGGAGGGTAGTGCAACATTAAGACAGGTCGCTCAGGCAGTGGCTGGAATCACCATCCTTGAATGTTTTCAGGAGTTAGCTAGACCGAGGCACTGCTGACCTGTCGAGCCTTGGTGAGAGCTGACTTAGTATGAGAGGACTAAATGACATCCAGGGGTCACAGCCACCCCTTCTGTGGTTCTACTGTTACATATCTGACAATGATAACACTACTTCTTTTCTATGGGAAAATAAAAGAATTCTGTCTTTTAGTGACGGGTTTGGTGCAAAGACTCAGATAAGAACAGTAGCTGTGCTATTAATCTACTCACATCTTCATCTCACAGGAACTGTGCAATGAGAGATTGTTGAGACTGCACGATACAAGTTGTAGAAAGAAGAGATACTCTAGACCAGTGACAAGTTATTCACTCAAGCTTGATTTAAATACATTTTTTAGGTTGTCTTTATTTAATATCTTGAACATTGGACTTGCTTTGGTCCAAATCTGTCGTCCTCCTCAAAATCACAATATACTGCTTAAGGGGTCTTTTCCACACCTGGAGCCTGGCTGGACGCATCTGCCCTTGCTCTTCACTCTGGATGCAATAAATGGCTCTGCCTGGGCAGTATTAACCCTGCTTCTGCTTTCTTTCAGTTGAATTCTCTGACATCTTTTTACAACTGCAAAATTTTATTTTCTTCTGTCTTTTTAATAGTTTTTTTTTTGCTGGTTAAGCCTGGAGTTTTTTGCTTGCCAGCCTCCAGATTTACGTTCCATTCCTGGAAGAGCTAGAAAGTAGATTCTGGAAGCAAGGTCCTCTAAGAGCTGGATGTATCAGCTTATCCCACTGCAGTGCGTGGGTGATGCAGACACTGGGCCTTCGTTTCCTGTCTAACAGGAGATGTTAATGAAAAGACATCCTTTTCTCTTAATCCTTTTTTGGTAACCTCTTAGCAGATGGGATCTGTCTTCCCGCTCTGCTCTGGATCCCAAGTCTCACTGCTATTTATTGTTGCAGATCAACTATGCAGAGTCCCTGGTCTGCAGGGATGGGCTCTGGTTACTGACTCTGCTCCATGTTATTTGCAAAAAACACAGCTGTTGTCTTTATAATTTAAGAGAATTAAGGCCATTTCCCAGTACCATTTGTGTGGATACCAGCGGGTTGCTAACTGGGTCATCTCTGGCTTGCAAAGTCCTGCTTGTACTCATATTTTCTAGGGTGAAACCTAATTCCGTTCAGAGTAAGGGGAGCATTCCCCTCTTACCTCCAGAATTTTATGACACTGTTAAATCCCTTTTAATGCAAAACCTCATATTTTGCTTTCTTCTGAGCACGCTCTGCCTGCCTGGATCTGACCAGCATCCAGCCCTTCGCCGGGGAAGCGGGACCCCAAGCTCCCGCGCACCCCTAGACCCTGGTGCTGAGCGCCGCCGCTTATGAATATGTACACGATGGGCTCTGCCCACCGGCTTTTTAATTCGAGTGACATCAAAGCCCTGCCTGCTTGGAGGAGGGGACCCACAATGCAATACGCAGGCAGACGTGGAGGCAGCTCCCCGGGCCGCTGGCATCGCTGCTGCAGGCACAGACCTTCCATTGTCAGCCCTGGGGGGCCGCCGGGGGCCAAGCCCTGCATGG